ACAGCTATTATAAGAATGTTTTCGTTATCTGCAGTTACTTTTGCAGCTGTAATCTCGCACTTTCCCTCTTCGCAAAATTCCCTTGCTTCAATGCTTTGGATTTCAATGCCGTCCCTTGCTAGTATGCATACACTACCATTATTCATAAACTGGCGACAATACGCACTTACATTAGCATAACCTCTTAGCTTGCAGTTTTCGAACTCATGATCCCTGAGATTATGTTCGGTTACACAAACAATATCAGGTATTTCACGTGCCAATAACATTTCAAAAACCTCAATTTTTGAAGCCAGACCACGTATATTTTGATGTAACAGTTTTAGATGACTCGGGGGAGCCCGCATTTGGCAGACTCTGGAGCCGTCCACGGTATTTGGTGTTGCTTGTGTCCTGTGCCTAAAAAAGATTTATTATAAAAAACCTGACTTTTCCTATTTCTTATCTTTTTTAAACTAGTGTGAATTTCTGCTGGTGAAGTAAAATCTTTCAAAAACCTAGAGTTTGAAAATACACGTGACCTTGAATGAGGGGGATTTACAATGGTATGGTCAGATTTACAGGTGCCATTGCTACAAATTGATTTACACAACAAATTGGCAAGACAAAGCTTACCCCTCTCATTCAAATGCAGCCCGTGTTTAGTGTAGAAACCCCTCTCAAATGTTTCAATGGATTGGAATTTAGTATTTTTGAAATGTTTGACCAGCTTCTGTATTTGAAAGTTCACTCTGAAACAGATCTACGTGGACAAAACATAACCTAAAATTTGATGATTGACTTTCACGTCTAAGTTTGATTTTTGTCTAAGTTCTAGTTTGACGAAGATGAAGGTTAACATTTTTATTGTATGTATAAGAACCAAGTTGAACGTTTTTATGTTATACAAGTCTTATTTTAGGTTTATTCTTTTCTAGACTAGAATAATATTATTCACAACACTGATATTAATAGCTCTGACTCTATTCTTTGTAAACAATTTACATGTTACAGAATAAAGAAGTTTTGAATTGAATTGAATTGAATATTTCATCATTACAAACTTGTTTAGGCCTAGTTGTAAGTTTTATGAAAGTTAAAGCGTTGATCTTAATATCAACTTCTAAAAGTATTTTAATTTCATTATTTTGTAATAAAATATTTTTTTCTATACTAATTTGTACTAGGCTTATTTTATATCCCTAAAATTTTACACTGCTACGTCTGCTACCACAATGGTTTGTAAAGTTTTTTTTGGATTTGAAAAAATACTTATTCAAGTTATTGAAGTTATAAAATTTCATTATGAATTTGTAGAAGTTTTAGACGTTTTTTGAATTGAGTAATTTTGTATATATGTAAAACTAGCAATGTTTTGTTAATGCAAGTTAATAAATACTGAATTGAGTGTGACTGCAGTGTAGTATAATAATTTGTAGATTTTAAAAAATAGTACAGAAATTGATTTCTTAAAATAAAAAATAGTTGGGAAATCTATGTTAAGCAGTTGGGAAATTTGAGGCTTCTCCCCCCCCCCTGGAATTTGACCAAGCAACGGCACTGACCACTATTTTTCACTAAAAATCAGTTCTGGTGGCAGCCTTACACCTCATGTTTGAGGAGGCAAAGTGGATTTCTTGGTTAACGTAGCAATTAAAATATCATATCAACAAAAATTAACACCATGTCTACTTTATTACATGACTACGTACGGACGTGGACACACCAAAATTACAAAAAGCACAAAGTTACCTATATTAATCTTGTACTTCATTTTTTTACTGCAAAACCACCGGCACAACAAAACTAATGCACGTCCCGAACCAGTCTCTAAAACCAACTGACGTTATTCGCTGCCAGGATTGCCACTGTCGTCTTCCAAAGTTATGGTTGGGACGTCAAATCGAGGGACAAACCTATTTTGTCATGGTAGTCAGTTTGGAAAGAAAACAACATTATTCCTTTTTTGTAAGTTTAATAACTATTGATGACTTAAAAATATGGCTTTATATATTTCGGCATGAATAATTAGTCTAAAAACAGCGTGAAAGTGGAAAAATGTACCCTAGGGACACGTCATGGTCGTGAATTTTGAGACTTTAAAAATACGAAAAAAATACCTAGAACCTACTTAAAACCAAATAAATGTTTGTAACATGTTGCCCCCGTCCCAAAAAATATTAAAACACATAATAATATACTACAAATACAGTATCTACGGAGTAAAAGACCAGGGACATGAAAACGTACGTTTCAAAATTTTCACTCAATAATAGGAAGACTACTGATTCTAGTGATAGGGAAATCAAATAGAATATAATCTTCTGGTGACTTGGAAGAATCTCTTTTTGCTAGTAGTTTTGCAATCACCAAGAGCACATCTTTAAGCAGGAGGCAATTATTGTTTGTGTACTTGAAACAGTAAATACATAAAGCATCTTCTTCTTCGGTATTTTTTACATTAATTCCAAATACGGCCTCCTCATCATCTGAAAACAGAATACAAATACACAAAACCAATTAAAATTCAATCTTAGAATATTGTGTTTCATTCATTTACGCAGAAAAATGTCAACGGTTGTTAATTTTCAGCTTGTTGGACCTCCAGGTGCAGCTCAGGTAGGTTTCCAGACAATAAAAAAGTTTGGAATCATTCATTTTGAGTATTGGAATTTTGTGTAAGAATGAAGATCGTCCCGAGAGTATGAGACTTTGAAGAGTTTGCTCTTTCAAATAACTTGATGGCGTGAACCAAAAACCCTGCTGCACTTCCACTTATTCACTATTCAGCTTAGCAGAAAATATGTCGATTTTAACACAGTTTTAGAAGCTTCATTGCTACACTATAGTGACTTCTTTCAACATTTATATTTTGAACTGTTATATTTTGATAAAACTAATACTAAACTGTTATATTTGATAAAACTATAATACTAAACTGTTATATTTGATAAAACTAATTAAAATTATTAAAACTTTAAAAATGTAATAGTAATACTGTACAAAAAGAAAAAAATATCTGTCAATTCTTAAAACTAAGCTCAAACTTCATGATTTAATACTGGTCTGGTCTGTATCAGGACAGGATATAGGCTTTTGTCCTGTATATAATTTTACTACAGCAAAAAAAAAAAAATATTAAGGACTCTTAAACCGTGGCACAACCTACCCTTCAAAATTATCCAAAAAAAATTCTTCAATGCTATAGTAAATTTTTCCAACAATAATTTATGTAAGGTTTTGAAGGTATTTTTTTATGAATTTATTTCTTGATCTGGCCAAAGCGTTTGATAAGGTTGACCATTCAATTTTGTTGCAGAAACTGCATTGGTATGGCATGTCAAATGATTTATTGCATTTTTTCAAATCTTACATTGTGAATGGGAAACAATTTGTTTTCTATCATGGATTATTTTCCTCTGCTGTATTTAATGTCCAATCTGGGGTTCCCCAGGGTTCGAATCTAGGGCCTTGTCTTTTTACAATACTAATTAATGATCTAAGTGACTGTATTTTAAATTCAAATTTATTTCTATTTGCCGATGATTTAAAAATGTTTAAGCATATCAATAGTCTTGATGATGCAAATAGCTTACAAGAAGATCTTGACAATGTTTATAGATGGAGTGTTTCAAACAAAATGAATTTTAATGTTTCGAAATGTCAACTAATGACTTTTACTAGGACTACAATTTTTTTTACGAAATAACTATTTTTTTAAATGGCATTTTAATTAGTAGGGTAAACAAAATTAAAGATTTAGGTGTTCACATGAATTCTGCACTATCTTTTAATTTTCATATTGAAACATGCATTGCTGCTGCAAGTAAAATGATGGGGTTTATAGTTAGACAAAGTACAAATTTTAGAAACATTGAAACATTAATTATGCTTTTGCTTGTCAGATCAAGATTAGAAACCTGTTCCATAATTTGGAATCCATATAATTTACAGTTTAAAGATGCTTTAGAGAAAGTCCAGAAAAAGTTTTTAAGATTCTTATTTTACAAATGTTTCAATATTTATACGTACGAAGTTCCATACCATGATTTGTTACAACTGTTTGGGCTGCAGAGTCTAGATCTGAGAAGAACGATCATAGGTCAGGTGTTCCTGTACAGACTGGCGCGTGGAGAGGTTGACGACGCTGCTAGCCTGGCCGGCCTGTCTTATCGTGTACCCTGCTTCAATAGTAGGAACAAACATCTCTTCTCGTTGCCCTACAGCCGCACCACTGCCCATGCCTCCTCCCCCCTCTATCGATTAATGAAAGACTACAATTTTGTAATAAAAAAGTGCAATAGTATTGATATTTTCTCTGACAACATAAACAATTTCAAATTAAAATTAAAAACGGTATTAATCAATCAGTAAATGTTAATCTATATATTTTTTCGTTGTTCTATTTATTTTTACTACTCTGTATTTACATATTTATATAATTTATCATTGTTAATCTTTTTTAAATATCTTACATTGTTGTTATAGTTATTGATAATTTTGTTTTTATGTTAGTATTAAATGCATGGCATGAAAGTGTAAGTAAACGTGAAGTGAAAAGACAAGAAGAAACCCACTGAAGCAATAATATTATAAGTGCATGAACTGCTTCAATGTAAATGGTGTTTAAACTGTATTGAAGCATGTAAATAAAATAAAATTAAAAAAATGTTGTAAAACAAGAGTTGAAGTCTTCTCAACACTTCTGGCTGGACTGTGCAGTTAAAATTCCTTGGAAGGGAACTGTGAGGCCAACTGAAAAAAGAGGGATGGGTGTTTTACAGCTGCTAGGATTCCCTAGTGACAAAACCTGAAGGACTGAAAGGAGTTCTGCAAGAGACCAAAGGTTGAAGTAGATAGAGGTAGCTACTAGCCAGTTACTAGCTACTAACCATACCCCAACTCTCCTCCCAAATAAAAAAACCTCAATTGTTTGGATTTGAGTGTTTTTAAATGCCCACCACAAAGAATTGCAATTCTGTAAAAAAGGATGAAATAAAAAATGATGCAAAAAGGTTTGCACAACACAATTGTTTTAATACATATTTTACTGATACAAGGCAGACTCTCCAAAGTGTACGCTTAATATCAACACCATTCACTTCATGCAACATTGATAATAGTCCTCAGTCATTGATACAAAGTTTTAAGAAATAACAGTAGTCAATTTATATTCAATATTACAAAGAATCCAAACATAACTCTTAAAAACATTATAGTGAAGCTTTACTCGAGTTCTGCATAGTTTTAAATTAATGACTACTTGCAGAATTCTCATAGCATATTTACACTTGACAAGTTGATGAATCACAAAGTACATTATAAAATATAAATGTCAATCACAAAGTTGCACACTGGGGTTTCTGGCTCAAGGAAAAAAATGAAATAATTTGAGTTGTAATGAAAATCAATTCTTTACCTAATTTATAACTATTCCACTTTTAGCCATAGCACTAAATTTTTTTATGAACCAAAATTTGATGTTATGAACAGCACAATCAGTTACCTACCAATACGCATTACAATGGGACTTAGTATTAGAATCAAAGTTAGAAAAATTTAATCAAACCAACATAGTTTTCTCCAACTCTTTAATACTACCGTTTTAGGTAGAGATATTCACCTATCATGTGGACCAAACGTTTTTAACCGTCTCATTTAATAAAGTAAATTTTGTTTATAGTGTCTACCTTGGGACAGATTTTTTTTCAAGAAGTTAAAGATTTACGGATAAGAATGAAAGGGTACATGAATGTTTAACCCTTCCCGGACGGGTGACGGATATATCCGCTTATGGTTTTTGATGTTCCGGATGGGAAGCAGATATATCCGCTTTCTTTTCAGACAGATTGGCAGGTGCTTGAGATGTAACCAGATGTTTCGCGGTACCAAGGCGCCACTTTCCTGCTATCTCCATGGCTGCGCTCTCTCCCGCACTCCCCCCTCTCTCGCGTGCCTACCCTCTACCGCTCCTCACCCTCTGCCCTCCCACCACCCACCTCTCCTACGCTCCCCCCTCGACGTTTCGCGCTCAAAACTATGTTGTCTTTATTTATTGTTTACATATTGTTCTTTATTTATTGCCTAACGTTGTCATGGTCATATCTTCAAAGACGTGTGGCGGATATATCCGCTGCTTTTCTACTTATCCGCGGATATTTAAAAACGAGTAAAAAAAATATTTTGACATTATGAAGTGTTATACAGTAGAACCTCTTTAATCCGAACCCCCGTAATCCGAACGTCCACTAATCCGAACCCCTCATTGCTGTACTCTATAAATAGTACAGCAGTTCTTTATTGTATACTTTATTTAATGTACATTACTGTTTATTCACCATGTTTACTACTGTATTAAATAAACACTGTATTTTAATTTATAAAACATTTTTTTCACTTTTCCCAAAATAATTTAGATAAATTTTAGCCATGTTTTAGCTATTGTTATGTAAAAACAACAATATGTTCTGTAATCCGAACTATTCACTAGTCCGAACTACCCCTGGTCCCAATTATACTCTGTCTGAATTTAATGTGCGGTTGAAGGACAAATTTGTTTTCCCCTGTTTTCTCCCTGGCCCCTGCCACCACCACATATTAGCCTACAGCTGATTCATACTGTTCATAATTTTACAACAGGTGTCACTTTGTTTACATTTTAGTAGTAAACAACATTGTGATTATTATGATGATATTTTGTGCAGTTTAATATTATTCAGTCTGGGTTTAATTGATTAGTGTTAATTAGAAATAGCCAAAACAGTGCAAAACTTAACTGGAGAAGGAAACAAATGCATTGCAGCACATAATATGGACTCCGAAGATTGTAATATAGAAAATATATCAAAAGATTATTGTAATGGATAATGCCAGCTACCGGTACCATTCGAAACGACTTAACAAAATTCCAAGTTCAAATCAAGAAAGGCAGACATTGTGAAGTGGCTATCAGATAATGGTATTGAACACAATCCAGTCCACACAGTAGCAGAACTCCTTACCACCGTGCGGCAGCACAGGCAAGATTTCCCCCCACAGTACGAACTGGATGAACTTGCGTTGCAGATGGGTTTGAGGTTGTTCGCCTACCCCCTACCATTGTCAATACAATCCCATAGAGCTAATTTGGGCTCAAGTGAATGGGGAGGTAGCGCAAAATAACACGTCTTTTAAAATAAAGGATGTCAGGAACCTTCTTGAAAATGTCATGAACCATGTAACGTAACAGTAGAAGACTGGAAGCAATGCGTAATTCATGCTGAAAATATCCAGTAAGAAGATTTTTATAAAGAAGGACTGCGTGACGAAATTATGGAACCATTCATTATAAATCTGCAGGATGACACTGACTCTGGTGGGCCAAGCGAAAATGATGGTGAACATCTACTTTCCAGTTATGAGAGTGAATGATGTAATAGAACGTTTCCAGTACTTTTTTAACGTTCACATTACATCTAACTTTTGTTAAATTTACATCATTGTGTTCATTTTGTAGTTTAATATATGTTTTATAAATAAAATTATATTTGTGTATTTTTACGAGTTTTGTTTTCCATTTGGTGTGTACTCAGGCATATTGGGCTTTTAGGCCTACTATTAGGGATTTGAAATATTTATACAATTAGTAAACAATGAAAAAATGCAAAAACTTAAATATAGCTGTTTCATACAAATGGTTTAATTTTTGTGTATCTTTAAACATAACTCGGTCAAATAGTATGATCAATTTGTTATGTTAGTTTATCCTCAGTAAAAGAAAATTTTAGCAAATAATGTATGGTATAATAAAACAAGTTTAATGAAATGACTCCGTTGTTCATCATGAGTAGGTCTACTCTGATGTACACTGATTATTCAGACATAAAGAGGATAACACAATGGTTTTCATCCTGATCTGACTTTAGGGCTTCGCTAGAGACCTTGACAAAGTTCCCATTGTCGACGGTATTAAAATAATAACTAAATAAGAAGTGAAGAATCGCTTTAGAATTGTGAAACCAGTTCACCACGATATTAACTAATTTAATAATGTATAGTTACATTACCTGAACTGAAATTGTATTTAAAACAATCCATCAAAAGCATAAAGCATAGATGTTAGCCCAAGATTATCTATATTACAACAAAACTTCTAGTGAAATTAAAATTAATACGTAGATTATTTATGTTAAAATAAATCTTCTTGTTTTATTATGTGTGTAGTTCAATCATAATAAACAAATGCTTCCTAAAAACCTGTCTGCAATATAAAACAGATGATTGTTACGGGTATTTTAGTGTAGAAAAGGGTAAATGAGAGGGAGATTTACCATAACAGGGAAATCATATCTTGAATTCCAACCGCACAATTATTTTAGACAGACTTTAGTTCGGATTAAAGAGGTTCTACTGTATTGTGTTTATTTCATGTATACTTATATAACAAAACACAAAAAAGGAAAATTAATTTTTATTTTTTTCTATAATTTTTTCTTGTCCTATGTCACGATTTCGCCCGTCCGGGAAGGGTTAAAATAAACATAAATGAATTGGAATATATTTTGCCTCAGTTAGGGAATTTTAAGTACAAGTCCTTAGGGAAAGAGTTTAAATACTTGCACTATATTTTTTAAGGGAAGTTTTACAGGAATATTAGAAGGTAAACGTTTACAAGACATGTCATTTGATAAAAATTAAAAAAATACATTTACAAAAAAAAAACAGTGTCATAATGTTATTTAATTTAATTCTTGAAAGGAATCTTTAGACTTAATAATAACTTTGTATCATCCATTTGGGGCAACAGAAGGCAGATAAGGTTACAGATATTAAGGAAGACAAAAATAGTATTCAAGATAATGCTTAGGTCTTCATCAAAGTACCGTAGGGGGAAAACATAAGTTATATAAGTCAGCTGATTGTTTTTCATTTGCTCTAAATTAGAGCTTAGGAAACAATTATTTTCTTTGATATAAGCTGTTATTTAAAATGACAACTTTTGAACGGAATGATGAAATAGTTATTTGTGTAACTAGTGGTGAAAGTGGCACTTTGCTGCACACGAGAGCAATGTTTACGCACGAGCCGCAGGCGAGTGTGGAATGATCTCGAGTGCAGCAAAGGCCTTTTTCACTCGTGTTACACATTATATTTTTCCTACAGTCACTATAAAGCATATAAATAATTAGTCTTTCAAACACTATGCAACACGTTTTTAGGTTCAGCTGGCAACACAAATGGTGCCCTAGAGAAAGTAGTACCCGCGGTCCATATCACTCCGCTATTTTTCCTCGGCAAGAAATGTGCTCCGCGTATTGAGAATATAGTTCCGTATGTTTTTGTAATTTTAAGTGGTTTCCGCGCCTAAAAGAAATGCTTAAAAGGTATTTTCTTGTTTATTAAGATCGTAGGAAGGTTTTAAAAACGTTTAAAAGAAAAGTCCAGAAAGTCCAGAAATACCGAAACTATAAACATGAAATGACAGGTTAAATCGTAGTTATAATAGTCAATCAGCTGCTCATAGTATAATTATCTTTAAGTGTTGCCAACCTATTTCCAAGCGTACACGAATTACGTGCATAATGGAACCACGCTGTTTTGTGTTGTTTCGTTGAAATCCTGATGTGCGGCAAAGTATAAACCGTACGGCAAAGTATAAATATGCAGCAATTAGCAGCTTTCTGTACTATAAACAGTACAAGGAAGCCAAATTTGTCGGGTGACTGTAGGAAAATTTAATTTTTTAAATACCGTATTTCACTGTCAATTAAGTTAACAGACGATTAAATTCATAAAATAAAACAAAACACAGTCTAATGGTCACAGAAGGAATAAGGAAGAAGAATGGAGGTGAAAACAAAATACATTCACCACCTCTTTTTTATAACAAAATTAATTTTCTTACTCCTACTTCCATTACCATTATTAATCAAATCTTGAAACCTAATGTCAGGACTTAATCTTGAGAGCTATTATTAGTGCTAGTAATATAACTATTCTATTTAGATTTTTTATTACTGAAAGATAAAATAAATGGGGAAGAAATTATAATAAATAAAACTTTGATTATACTTAGATCTTGAAAATATGATGAATCCGTATACAGTTTTCATTAAATCTAATTGCTAAGAACGTTGTCCAGTTTTTACAAGCAATAAAAATGGGATATCAAATAATTTTAGTTTTAAATACAAAATTATTACACACAAAAATTGTAAATGAATAGCTTACTAAACCATTGGAGTAACACAGTGTAAATTTCTAAAACCTATGTTTGTGTACAAAACACAAATAAATACATCAAGGGTAATGCATATTATGTACATTGGATTAGTTTATGTACATATTCAATATAGTTAACTTATATGAAAATTGAATACAATAATTTAATAATAAATTAAACCTTTATTTGTGAAAAAAATGATTGTCTTCCGACAAAATAAAGGCTTCCAACCTCTGTTGGCGGGAATATTACAAAATGATTTAACATTTAGGCTTACTGTTGACACTATCACATCAGGGATGTTTTACTGGTCATGGTAAGGTAAACTGAATGTGCAATTTGTACATGAAATATCTTAAACTGAATGTTTGAAGTTACGTTAAAACATGATGAATTCCATCAACTGTGTAAAAATAAAAAAATAACAAAAATTAAATCTAATTGTGTTTTACATTTTTTATTTTTAAAATTAAGTTAAAATAATACAGAAAACAAAATAATAAACTTAATATTAGGGCTTTTAAATATGATAACAGTATGGATAGGTTTTGTGCTGGGCAAAATGTACATTAAGAGAATATACATAATACAAAATTAATAGTAAGAAATCTCTGTACTAATAATCAATACACCTGATGGTTTTAAAGTTTGTGCCTAACTTGCAGAGCTATATATGTATAAATATATACATATACATATATGTGTGTGTGTGTGTCTGTATATGTATATTTATATATTATATTATCAAAGTCTTAAGCTTAAATTTCTATGTGTCATTTCTAATTTTTGAAATTTACTGACAAGCAAGCCGATATATACAGTTATTGATATGATAAAGGTACTATATGATCCAAGGCAATAACCCGATCTGTTGTAATCTCACTACCTGACTACATCGCAATGCCTGATATGGTATCTTTGCGATCAAGCTCTGTTATCATACCTTATTCTTACAAATTCTTTTGATATGCAATAAATAGTATCTAGAAAAAACAACCTAATACACTCCTTATTGTTTGCGTTTCAAATGTTTCATCACAGAAGAATCCATTTATTTAAATTATGTACGAGCATTGCAGACAATCACAATTTTAACTACAATATTACAAATTAAATTGAGAAGAATATAAATGGCAATACATAGCTTGATACAGGATGTGATTTCTGGAGTCACAGCTACTGGTATATAAGAAATGAAAATATTTACTACAGATTGTACCGGATCATTGTATTTAATCATAGTGGTGCTCAGCAATTTGTAAAATGAAAGAAAATAACGATTATTTTAGTAAAATCTTTAAGTCACTAATTCCTACTCGATTAAATAGATACCTATTTAATATTTCACAGGAAAATTTTATATTTGCTACAAAGTGAACTAGAACGAAAGTGGCATAAAGAAAAAACAAAATATAAAAACTGTGTTCTGAATTGTTTGGTCAAACAATTCACCCAATGTTTAAATATTAATAAATTGCCATGTAATACAAGATTTTCATAATTTTAGCAAAGATTGAAGCATAACAAAATACTCAGGTTTTGTCTTTTAACATGCTGGTACTCTAGATATTATTGAGTGTCTGTTTTATTTTGTATTTTGGCCATTCAAACAACTCCCCTGTAAAATATAATTTTTTTATCACAATTTTATTTACAATCTGTTTAGCTTTTTGAACATTTAGCAAATATGAGAACAATTAATAAAAAAACCCTAGTTAGTCCATCCATCAACAGACCTAACTTAAAAATATTGAAGAAAAAAAGAAATAATAATTAAATTATTTAAACAAATCGTGAGCTGAGGTCTAAAACATAAATTAAATTAAATTAAATTAAATTCATTAAAATTAAAATTTAAAAGCTTAAAACTATTTTTAAATTCAAAGTACTGTAGAGGGAAATAGAAATATTACAGTCTGATTCAAAAGTATCATTTCCCTTCATGTATGTTAGGTACAACTACACCAAACCTAAACTATGAAATTAAAGCTTTTTACAACAAGGGGATTGTAAAAAAAGACAATTAAGAAATAAAACCTAACCTATAAGGAATGACTAAAAATAAGTAAATAATATATGTATATACCAGTAGATGTGGAGTAGCAAAACTACAAGAAGTGGAATTACAGCGCTATTTTCATTAAAACTATAAATTGTCATCATCAACAATGAAAACGCCAACAGAGTCTCTATGAAAATTGAACATAAGTATATATTTCAAAACAACAACAATAATTTAATTATAAAGTTTATAACTTGATACATTCTACCCGTAAACCGAGACTAAACAGTGCCCAGAACCAACCATCACAACAACTTTGACATGATTTTGCTCCTTGTTCTACATAAATCTTTTATTGTCATTGATGAAGTAGGATAGAATTCTCAAGAAGCAAAATTCTGACAGAGGTTGAATTTGAATTTTTTTAGACGGATACAGAATTGGATATTAAAAAGTTACCTATCGTATCATTTAAACAACCGTATTCATTCTTCTATCCATCAATTTTTGTACAAAATTAATTAATTTAAAATGTGTCTGTTTCTGAATATTTTTTGGAGAATTCATGGTTGATATTAGGATATGAGATGTGAAATGAGTCGGTAACTTATTATTTTCTTAGATTAAAATGTCTGAGTAAATAAATTTCTTAAAAAAATAATGATAGCAAATATAATAAAACAATGCTGACTACAGTAAAATCTCAGTTCGCAGATAGCCTAGTTAGGTACACACCGAGGTTAAAATATAGCTGTTTCTCTAAGCTAGAATATTATTTATATTTATGTAATATATTTGAACAATATTTGATCTATGGGGGTAATATAAAAGAAGTAAAACACTACAAGTAGCTACTGAATAGCATACACAAGGGACAGGAGAAAAATATACAAAATATAAAAGAGGTTGTTATTGAATTTTGTTATTATGAATTTATAAATAAAACATAAAATGGGAACAATTTAGTCAATTTTATCAAAGTATTATATGTTAACGCAATTCCAATCAGTAGGAAAAAGTTGTATATGGTAAAGATACACTTTTAGATCTCTGAGAGAAGCATAATGTTTTATGAAAGATTAATAATTGGAAACTTTTGACTATTTGGTGGTTCAATTATGTTGACACCTCAATAAAAGTTGAAAAATTTTAATTGTTGTACAATTTAAATTCAGCATTCAAAGAAATTATTCAAACATGGAACACTTTAACAGTTTTTTTCTAATTTTAAATGTTATGTTACATTGATGACACTCAAAATAATTTTTAAAAACTTTTTAGCCAAGGCTGTTCCCTTGTAATACTGTTTCTATTTATTTAAATGCATTTTGTGTTTATATAGAAAACCACACTATTTACACAGACTCAACCATCTATTAGCGAGGGCGGTTTTTTAAGTAAGAACCAGTTTCGCAAATGAATCCGTACTTCGGTTGTACACCGCAACGAGGCACATCACCATTTACTGGCATCATTTGTGAACAGAACTACAGAAGCTGTCAGGTACGCTTTGCTTTAAGTTTTTAAAATTGCTTAACACGTTCACTGCGGGCCATCAAATGGCAGGCGTAGCCTCAGCGCGGCGCAGCCCGCAGCGTCGAACAAACCCGATTGCCGGGTGTTTGGCTCTCATATTATGGTATGACGAATAGCAAATAACGTGCGGTGATGTCCTGTTTTATAACCAGAATCGACGTAGTTCGCTAAACACTCACATATAGCAGCACTGCTTGGAACGTAGCCGGTCTCATCGTATTGCCAATTGGAGGGAGAAAGACGGGACAACAAGTTGATTTTTAAGTTTGCCAGACAGGGATTTTATGGGGAAATTTTACTACCAACCTACAACACAACAAAAAGCAAGTCACCCACTACACGCTAACGTGGAATTGGTCTGCCTTCGACCGACGCTAGAGCAAAAACGATGATATACGAAAGGCATTGCCGAGCGTATCCGATCGGTTACAGCAGCGTCTGAACAGCGCTCGGCCTGTATCCGATACGCCCGCAGTGAACGTGTTAAACAATCAAATCTTCCGCCGCGTCCGAGGTAAGGTTAGTAATACTTATTTGATTACAAGAAACATCCATATTGGGTACCCACTAAAACACAATTCCTTACAAAAAGAGCATTTTCACGGCCATTTTTAAACTCCTAGCTTATTTCAGCTCTTTCTACACTATCCTTGCATCAGGGTCATAATCTCTAACCACCTGGTGATAAATGTTGGCATTGGATATGTTTCTTGTAATGAAAAAGTGTATAACTGATCTTACTTCAGACGCGGAGGGAGATTAGATTGCTAAGAAACTTTAAAAAACACACAGCAAAGCGTACATGACAGCTACAGAGCTGAAATTTGTATCATTTTATTCACAAATGATGCCATCAAATGGTGAAGCCTCGTTGCGGTGTATAACTGAAGTACGGATTCATATGCGAAACCGGTTCTTACTTAAAAAACCGCCATCGTATAACAATATACGAGACATATTTGGTTTATAACAGAGAAAGGTTGTTATTATACTGCAATATGTGTTTGGTATACTAGGGTCAAATTTCAACAGTAAAGCATAGCTACTCTGCATGTTGGTAAGCAATCCCAAAACAACCATAAGCGTTGACAAATTAATGTTATTCAATAACAACAACTTACACCTCGAATATTAGACAATTTTAATTGGGAGATTGACAGAAAATTATCTTTTACTAAAGCTTGAAAATGGCAAAATTAAATTGAAACCAATAGTAAAAACTGACTATTGATTAACTATTTAAAGCTAGAATGGAGGTAACCAGCCTCGGAAAGTAATGTTATGTGATGGATTGTTTCATAGCGATAAACTTTAACAGTTTTGCTAAAATATAAAGATCAAAGCACATTGTATCGTAACAACAGCAAAGAGTTGAAGTTGGTAGCAGTAGCGTTGTAACATAATAGAGTAGCATTCGCCTCATTATACACCCACAAAGCTACACTCTTACATGTATAAATACTAAGTTGGTCTAATTAATCCACTTTGTATCAGGAAAGAGGTTTAGATAAATTATTGCCACACAAAAAATGCATTTTATGGAAGATCCGAAAGCCATAGATAAAAAATAGAAAGGCATTTAGACGATGTAGCGACAGAATTCATTTTCCCAACCCGAATTTCATGAAAATTAGTTCCTTGCCTTTAGAGAGAATGTGGTCAACAGAATTATCACCACCCGTGACATTTCCTGTCATCTCAGTGAGCTTCTGCATGAGGTTAGGCATCCCGGGCTGAGGTTCCTGGGCGGGCGGAGGTGCTACAGGTGGGGGCTTGTCAGGTGCGGGTAAGGTAGGTGCAGGTGGGGCCTTGTACTTGGACTGTGAGGCCATTCTCGTAGTTTCCTGCTGCTGCTGCTGTTGTTGTTGTTGCTGCTGCATTCTACCATCCTGCATCATATAAAAACTCATTATATTTGTTACTCAATCAGTTCCTCTTTGTAACCACATATAATTTGTTGACAAACGCAATCCTTTTTTCTAATTATTACAGTAATTCAGACACTGTAACAAGGAAGAAATTCAGTAAAATACTAAAATTTGAAAAAAATCTGTTCCCATACTAAGCATCATCATTTTGGGCGTTGCGGGTATGGTTTTGCATCACAGAGCAAAACCTTATCATATCATTTCTTGAGTTAAACAAATTCTCTAAAAAAAAAACACCTTGTTTGTTTGGGTTTCTTCCCCCTGTCTGTCTATAAAAATAAAAATCTGTCATATTAAAATCATAGCTCGATGTCATGAACATTAGAGTAGAAAATATCAACAAAATCATAAGATAAAAAATAGTTAATTTCTAATAATTAAAATTGGTATTTTAAAAGTTAAGGTATGGTTTAAATTGATGTTCAAAAGCCAATATCTTAGGACACTTATCAGTCCTGTGTACTCAATAAATAGCCTCTCCGCATATCTTTCTGAATTGCATCATTAGTGGAAGTTATTTGTGCCAAAAGTTACAGAATTAAACCTACTATAAACTTTTTAATAATCCTCTTAAAAACAAAAGATTTTTTTAAGTGCAGTACCGGTATTGTACTTATATTTGTTGGTCTGAGATATTTGTGTTAAGTGGTTTTGGAGACTTACATGCATTATAATTACTGATTAAACTATCTAGTCATAGTGAACTACAAATTTATTCTTTGAATCCCTAAAAAAGAGAAAAATTACAGACATTATGTCCGACCCAAAAAACTATTTAATCGTTGACTTGACGACTATGCAATTTAACCTCACTTTATTTGATAGAGGAGTAGCAACGTGAAATATTAAACACACTTTAAAACTGTTTTTAATTTTTTGCTGATATTGATTGGGAACAGAATTTGACATGTTTTAAGCATGGTAAAAATATGATAACCAAAATATTCACCACATCTAAGATTATTTAAAAAAGATCTTTTCAAAAAAAGTACTGCTTTAAAATGAGCATGCTTTTCAACTGAACTCTAATTCTTCTACCAAGTTTGTATATGATAAAAGCTGAAAATGTGTCAATATTTACATACAATGGGATTTAAACATGCACATCCCATGCTTATAACAAAGGAGCAGTAAAGCAACTAATATATTCAAACAAATTTTATACTGTATAAATCAACAGAAATATTTACAAGTATGTCAATCTTTTCAATTAATAGTGAGTTGAATCATAAAAAAGGAACATGATTGGATTGAAAATATACTCTGATTCACTTAAACTCTTAATCTGCTAAACACATTTTTAAACTTTAATGATATCAAGGAAACAACAATAAAAATGGATTGTGACTATTGTTTAGTTGGTCAATCTAACCAATTGGCATAAACAATTTGCAAACTCATGTGAAACACATTAAACTACAATCAAAATAAATGAACTCTATGTCTTCAGATGTATAGTTAATAAAAAAAATATGTTTGTAGGATTTAGTCAAAATAAATGTGTCATTAGGCGAAAAATGAGTAAACAAATTGAATTACTTTTTTTAATGCTGTTTAACAATAACCTTTGGTTTCAGTTACATAGGTTACTCAAATTATAACTGGATCTTTCACATTTTTATCCTCCACCACTATTACATTAACTTAACAATCATTCAACGCTTTTCAATAAATTTATCTTTGCTTGAAACATTTACAGACTTTTAACAATATTATACTTTTTTTATTTCTGTGACAGCCTATTTTATTACAGTATTATGTTACCTTTTAATTTGGCTGTTGCCTTTTCTTCTTGATGTTGCTAATCAAAGTCACTAAATTTCACCTAATTGCATTTGTGACTAGGACGACAACTTCAAGAACAAAAGGCTACTAGGACAACAACTTCAAGAACAAAAGGCTAAAACCAAATAAAAAAGTAACTTAATTATTATAAGTTCTTGAAACTGGGTAACTGTGAAGAGTCTACTTTTGTTTTTTTCACTTGGCAATGAGCGTGATATACCCTTGGCAGGTAGTAGGCTACAGTTATTGTGATCCAAAAAATTATGAACATTGATGGCAATACCGGTGCTTAGAATTAAACTTATTCAACTAGGATAAGTCCGGTTAATTTGGCAAGAGTAAATTATTAATATATTTAACTTAACAGAATGAGTCGTCAGGTAAAATGTGGCATCAATTATATGGAAAGAGCCAAATTTTTCATTTCCCTCCTATTGAAAATATATATATATACAAAATGTAGAAATTGTGACATGTTAAGTAATGCAAAATCGATGTATATACTTGCATAAAATTTGAAAACATGGAATTAAAACTTAAGACGTGGATTGTAGCGAATTAAGGGAGAAAAAAATCTGAGTTCCAGAGTAAAAATTCAGAAAAATTAAGTCATGGCATTAGACATAACTCAAGATCAGGTGATCACTTTTATTCCTCTCAAGCTGAAAAGTTTATGACCAGCAATTTTTAATCCTATCACAAGTTCAAAATTATATGGAAACATGCATAGAATGTTTAACAAGATGATAAAGGGATCATATTAATTCATACTGAAATTACAATGTGGTCAAGTATTAGTTCCTCTCTGTTTCTCACTCCGAAACCTTGCCACATATCCATCACTGTTCAACATTGATCAAAACAACTACATTTATCTTAGCATGGAAGACAAAGGATATTGTAAACTAGAAGTGTAAGGCTTCTTCAAACAGAATGCATGGTAGCCAAATAACAGCCTTTTATAAGATGGTTATTGCTTGGAAATAAGATTTTTCTAATCGTCATCAAGCTTGCATTTAGAAGACACCAGTTCAAAATGGTATCACCCACACAGACCATGGTGTACTGAGAAATACAAAGATGATTTTTCGTATCTTCCATTCAAAATATAAGACTAAAGCTTTTGATTTAGATGTATAAAAATATAACGGATAATAGAACAGTTATGGATCATTAAAGTTATATCTGATGCTGTATTTAATTTAAAGTTTTAGCTTAAGCAAGGCAAAACAAAATATGATAAAAAAGCAATGTATAGATCAGAGTTTCTTACTTATGAAATCTTCTTTATGGAAACCTGTGAACCAATATGTTTCTTTTAACATTTATGACAACAAATATTCTTTTCTTTTAACCGGTATTTAACGTTTATATTATGTTAAGATAAGATATTTCAGAAGCAAATGGTTCACATGATTTCTTCTCCTTTTTCCCTTTTCCCTTTTCACGCATATTACTATTACAACAGATCTCTGCCAATTACAAAACAAACCAAAAGTATTTTCAAAAATAAATGAAGATTCACAATTTAAATGTTTAATTTTTAAAGGTTTTTTTTTTGCTATATATTAAGCAATCACAAATGTTACACGACTACCTAAAACATGTTCAATATAATTTATAAAAAGCTGTTCTTTTCATGAAATTGTTTACTTCAGTTTTAAATGTAATCTTTACTTATAATACATTTTTATTACATTAACTCCAACCCTGATGCAATTTTACAAAGTGCCTAATTCTTCGGTCTATTTCAGTGATAAACAAAACTATACTATTTATTAGTTTAATGAACAATTTTGTTTGTTTTTATGCAAGCTTAATTCCTTGATTGGGGAAGCTCGCTTGATCAATCGATTGGTTCTTACTATCAATTTCTTCATCCATTTGCAAATCATTGTTCAGTTAAATTAAATCAGTTTTAACTCTAAACAAAAAAAAAATGTACAAGAAAAATTATTTTTACACGATAAATACAATACATTACACACGGATAAACCTTATATACAAAAGTCTTTAGAAAAACATTTTGACATGAAACCACAAAATTTGTTATTTCTGAAAACAACCCTACATGATGGACCTCAGTAATTATTAGTATGTACAAAAAGCTATATGTTGAAAATAACAAAATATATTTCAATCATAAATTATAATATTAAAAAATGTTTGCCACACTCAGTCATCAGCTGCTTTTTGTACTTTTTTTTTTAACAGAAAGTGATTGATTACAGAAAGGGACTGGTACAGCCAGCTGGAGTACAGTAAATTTACCAGTCAGTGTTGCAATAGGCTATACAACAAAACAATAAGGCTGTCAACCTCTGCACGCTATAGACTCGCCCACCGCAGTATTTAGTGTGATCATTTACAAATCAATTTATAGCAGAATGAAAGCATTACGACAGAGAATATTGAGAATTATACATTAAATAATTAATTGTTATCTCAAAAGAAATGAGCTAAAATCTTGTGCCTGATAAATCAAAAAACATATATGAGTAAGAGTCTTCCATGTTTTAAAAGTTGTGAAATAATATAAATATTATTAAGGTTAATCAGTGGTTTGGTCATCCTGTAATCCAGCTACTAGGAGGTCACGAATTGTGGATATTTATAGGCATGCACTGTGGATGCGATACTCCCTGGTGTGTATTAACGTCCGCACAGGTGAGTACTATGACTATCCGCAGTACTATCTTGATAATTAGACCAATTTGTATATACCAAAGGCAAAAATGTGATTCGGATTCCACTATAAACTGTAGGTCCCTTAGTTGCCTTTAGCTGTATGGGCTGTTAATTAACAGCTGTGTCTAAGGAATATGTCGGCCTTAGTCACTAACAAGACTAAAAGACCGCGCCACTCATCCTACACTCATCTCCATTCATACTTGGCTTAAATACCTACTTTGTATGGTCGTCATTTCATTAAAATGTATTAAAGTATGTATGGCTTGCAATCTTACACTGTATTTTTGTTGCGGTTAGTGTGGCAAAAACATCGTACGAGACTAATCCATAAAAGCTTTTACTGTACTGACATGAAATCCCGTGCTCGTACCATAAACACCTACTAACTGGTCTTGTAACTTAGTATATTATTATTTCAATTTTATAATTAATTAATACGGAAAAAATATTCAACAACAACGAACTGAACCAAGATATTTGAATCA